GTGTGTGTGTGTGTGTGTGCGCGTCCCCCCCCTCTCTGACGTCATCAGCAGCAGCCAGTGGTTTTTCTGGTTGAGCTGCTGCTCTGACTTCACTGTAGTGTAAAGGGTGCTGTGTATCGTATCAGGAGGGGAGGGGGGGCTGAATTGCCCAAAAAAAAAAAAATCTCCCAATTGAGGTGCACATCCGGAGTCTCATCGCACCCTTTACCTTTTTTTAAGAAGTCTATTTTTTATTCTTTGTTTTTTTTTATTGTTGTTGTTATTGTTAATTTATTCTTTTTTTTTCCCCTCGTTGGTTTATGGTTTACACTCCGGGAGGGCAGAAATGGCGGCCAACATGTACCGGGTCGGAGGTATGTATGTCAATGTGGACCTTTTTCCTCCCAGCAGCGACCCGTCCCGGGGTTTTAACTCCCCGCGGGGGGTTCGCTGTGGAGATATTTCTGCTCGGTTGGGTTTGATGGCGATGCGCGGACGTGGTTTCGGTAACACGGGCGCGTTAACGTGGAGCAGGAGGGCGATAATTTCAAAATATTTGGGATCCAAAATGGGTCAGGCCTCGCGTCTGTCGTGGCCACAGCAGCTAGCCGCCAGCTTGCTACATGGGCTAGCTCACAATGTAAACATTTTTCACTGGTCGGCACCTTCCTTTGCGTTTCGGTTTTCTGCGTATTTACACCGGGGAGAGTGGAACCCGAGCCTCAGCGTGGCTTCTCCGCCGGACATGTGTTTTAAAGCAGTGGTTTGAATGTTACCCCGGAGAGTCTGAGGCTGCCTTTGTATTTGCCTCCTCTGGCATGCAGCCATTAGTACGATACCTAATTTAGCTAACGTTAGCACCAGCTATGGCTCCACTGATTACCATGATCGCAGCCCGGGCGCTGGTTTTTACCCTGTTTTCAGCCTCGCATCTTACGATATCAGCCACGTTACATGCTTCGTGTTCCCCCACTGTTCACCTACATCCACCGCAAGTGGCAGTAATTAGCAAATTGGCTTCAGTGGTTAGCTAGCTTGTTAGCACCCGAGGTGGAATTCAACATCAAATTATTGTCTGGGTTGGTGGCGTCGTTGCGTCTGGAGGGTCAAAGCCTTTTATTCCCAGTCACCTCACGTGCGTATTATTGTTATGATCACGCTGGAATGGTCTCGGTGCTTGACATGTCACACTAACAAGTATCTCGGCTCAGGTGATGTTATTGGCATCACTTTAGTCTCAGGAGGATCGGGTTTGTTTCACTACATCAGTTTGCTCAACTCTAGTGCAGAGCTGCTGCCTTCAAGTGCTCTCTGGAAACTACCTCAACTTTAGCTTCTGCGGGCATCTGGGTTTTCTGTCAGTTTGGGACACATATGTGATGCAACACGTTTAAAAAAAAGAATGTTACTTCCTAATCCATAGGTGATGCCATACATGGCTGCAGCTACTGATCATTTATTTATATATTTGTGAACGTCACACTCCTTTAAATTTGTTTAGCTAAAACTCCTAATACCCAAAATGTTGTGTTTGCAATGATGTATGACAAAGAAAAGCAGGGAGTCTGCACATTTGGCATCATTTTGCTGGTACTTTGTGAAAAATGACAGACACAAATACTTTTTACATTGATCTAAAGGACCAGTCTTTTCAGCTCTAGTTCTGTTAATGTCACTGTTACACTGCAAAATAAAAAGATGAATATATCTGCCAGAGCTGTAATTCATCATTTTACAGCTATGAGGACAAACCTTTTCTGAATCCAGAGGCAGACAACAGTGTTATGTGTGCACTGAATACAACTGAAAGTCTCACTTTGACAGCTGTGATATATTAGCCTCTTGGCTGGGTTGTTTATGTCCCTGGACCATTGTAATTTCGAAATTTCAGGCAGCGTTTAAAGGCAGCATTTGCTATGGACTGAACTTTTCCAAAGTTACCCTATAATCTCCCAGGTGCAATTGAATCAGGCTGGATTTCAGTGTTCTTAGGTTAGGTGAAATCAAGTTTACTCAGTTGGTTGAAGAGCAGAGGAAACTCAAGGCGTAGTAGGGTTTTTGCTTTGTCCTTATTCCCAAATTATTTACCTTACAAAAGTTATGGCAGAACAGAAACTATCTCACAGGTTGTGGAAAACTTACTGCACACATCTATATTGCTTGTGTTGACCTGTTAAACGTGGAACTCGTATATTCTCAGTGGTGCTAGCATGTTAAAATTGCACATAAACACACATTCATGTTTCTAGTTTGGATCTTATATTATTTTCATTTCAACACACATGATTGTTCAGCATCACAGTTTTCTGATACAGTGAAGTAATATGTGTGTGTGTGTTTTGTTGCAGATTATGTATTCTTTGAGAACTCCTCCAGTAACCCATATCTGATCCGCCGGATAGAAGAACTTAACAAGGTAATGAAGTGGTCATGTCAGTTTTTTTGTGTGTGTGTTTATGCCTCTTTATGCCTGAGGGTAAATAACAAGGATTCCTTTCTGTTCCTGCACCCACCCTACTTTGTAATGGTGTAGGCATGTGTGGTCATTTCTTGACTAAATGATTGTAATATCATAAAAAGAGAGACAGATCTTCCCCTTTCTTCTAAATGCCATTTATATCGTGTGACACATCTGAAGAAATTATGTTTGTAGGTGGGAGAAACCACTGTAAGGATTATTTTAGCTCAGATAAGTCTAGACTAACATTTATCTCCAGGCTGAGTAACTGGTGATACTAGCTTTATAAATGTTTAATAAGTTGTAGAGTACCCTGATTCATAATCTATTTAATTCAATAAAATACCACACTATCATCTTTACCAGGCTTGTCAGAAAAGCTTTTCCCATGTTGCACAGATCAAAGTCAGTCAACTTTATTGTCAGGGCCGGGTTGAAATGTTGTTTCTATCTGATCCCCTGGTGACAGATATATTCATGCCATAAGCAGGTGGTGTGGTTGGGAAATGTCAGCTAACATCAGTGTCAGCATGAAAGAAAACATACTAAAGATAAATGGAATATCGTATAGACAGGATACAATGTAATTACATAGGCCAAAATGTGGCTGCAATAACGGGAACTCCCTGCAGAGTCAGTGTGATAGTTTCTGCCTTTACAAAGCTAATAATCTTCACTTTGTGTTGAGACTGACAGAGTGGTTGATTAGATGTGATGGAGGTTTTTGCAGCTGTAACTTATGTTGGGGCTGCACTGTAATTATTCTCATTATGCTTGATGTTTTCCCCCCCACATGCCTCATGGGAAAACTGTCATAAATGGAGATTTTCTGATACTGATATCAGAAACCTTTCAGATTTCTGATACTGATATCAGAAAATCTGAAATGTCTCAAATACTGCCTAAAATGCTGGATTGGGCATTGGAAACTACGCAAATATGTATACTCATCCAAAACCATGACTATCCAGTGAATTAGTAACACTTCTTCTTTGCTGCTTCAATGCTTCAACAGTTGCGTAGTACTGCCACTGGCAAGTACTTGTTGCAGAGTTGCAAAGAAGTCATTTTAGGTAGTGTAGTGTTAGCCAGAACTAGCTGAAATATCAGCAGTTTGGCAATATTTCATGCTGGACAGTCCCACCAGTAAAACTGCGACGTGTACCATATGCAAGACTGTCATTTTGTGTTCTTTAAATGGTTAAACCTGACCCTGGCCATACAAGAGGGATATCAATCATCACTTCCATACAAGAATAGTTGTATAAAGCTGTTTAAATACCGGTAATCAGTACTTGGTATCTTCCAAAGCACAAAGTCCAGGTATTGGAATAGGAATCGAAAAGGAAAAATAGTATTGGAACATCATCAAGTACAAATGCTCTTCCTGTACTTGAATCCACAAAGCTGTAGAAGTCGGAGCCACTTTTTTCAAACCTTCACATCCCCTCACTCTCCATCAGTCATGCATTTAATACCGGCCAGTGTCTTTAAGCCTGTCAGCTTAATTATACAGCGAGACAATCAATCATTTGATCATAAGTGCTGTTGATGCCCTGGTCAACCTGTCATAGCTGCTCGAAGAAGCTTGACAGGCACACAAAAAAACAAGTCTCATGGGAAATTAGCAATGTGTGCAGGGAGCTGCTGCCAGCCCAGTCCATCTTCATCTCTGTCATCTCTCTCTGTTTCAGACGGCCAGTGGGAATGTGGAGGCCAAGGTGGTTTGTTTCTACAGAAGGAGAGACATCTCCCACAGCCTCATCCAGCTTGCAGACAAACATGCAAGTGAGTCATCATTCAAAAACACCTTTTGTTTGGTTCCCACGTGCAAAACACTCCCATGTAGGCGGTTCAGCCTTGTATCTTTAAGATAAATCTTCTTTATAAAGGGTATATATTAGCATTTAGAACCGTTTGTTTGAACAGTAGAGAAAACAATTGATGAATTAAAAAAATATTTGGTGGATTATATTTTGACGATTAAGACCATAGATTAATTGAGAACTCAGTTAATTAATAGATCATGAAATTATTGTTAATTGCAGCTTACATTTAGCATTTAAAAGAAGAAGAAGAGATACTTTATTCAAGGGGAAATTCTTTTTACACTCATTTTTTAGATGCACTTTTTTTTAACCCTGAAACACAATCCCACACAAACAAAGGGCTCATAGACATGTAAATGTGGAGAGAGATGGTGGATAGATAGAAAGATAAAGATAGAAAATCCGTGTATTTTTAGAATTTAGAATTTGTCAATATACGATACAGTAAGGTGATTAATGTACATTTTGGCACTTTCGAAACTGAATGGTTTTAAGCCATGGTTGAATTTTTAGCCATCTATTGTGAAGGAAGGCATCATAATGGGCTTTCATCTGCACGTCAGTCAAGCAGACATTTTCTGCAGCCTTTCCACTTAGCGTTTTCTTTGCACAATTTAACCTGCGCTATCAATAAGTTCTGTTTTTTCCCCCCATCATGTCAAGCACAGCCTCTGAGTGCAGCCAATTAGCGACGGCAGTTTTGGAGGTGGTGCAACTGAAACTTGAAAATATGGCCCTGTGATATTGATATATCATAGTAATTGCTGAATTGCTTATTACTAAGAGGGAGAGAATCAGACTATGGCTGTAAGAATGATCAGCAGAAGGAGACCCAGTAAGAAATACCAGCTGGGCAGTAGAAAAGACTGAAGCAACCATCAAATTTAACACTGCAAAACACACTTTGAAAAAATATTTCACATTTATGGCTCAGATTAGTGCACCAGTGCTCTAAGTGGAGTTATTTTGGAGCTACGTCAGCGAAAATGTGTTTTGTCTTTCGTGTTGATTAGTTATTGCACCTCAGGATGAAACAAAAGCTAGGAGTCAAATATAATCTCTACAGAAGATGTCTAAAATAATACACATCTACCCTCACTCTCATGCAGATAGTTTAGATTTTATTTCCCAAGATTGAAAGGCATCAGTTTCAGTAATGGCTGCTGCCTCTCAAACAATAGAGTTGTTTGTGTTTAAATTTCTGACACTCAAAGTCTGTGCGACTTCCCCTTTTCTCCATCTTAGCTTGCAATATGAGGTGAATAAGCGACCAGTCGCTTACTTTGGTGAGAAGAGCGAGACTTCCTGTAGTTGTCCTTGAGTAGTTCACCAGCGAGTTTTGCTTTGTTTGTTTTTTTTTTTCCACTGTGATTATAGCTCTGATGTATCAAAGTAAAGCAGACAGGCTGTCGGATTGAAGTAAGAACACCAACATAACGTATAAGGAAATAAGGACTGTTTTACTCCAGAAATGTATAAACATTGTAAATGGTGAATGAAACAAATGACACTGATTTGTTGCATGTGCTTCAGCTGAAGTGCCCGATGGAGGGTCCTACAGCCAAGTCTGAAACCCACTTCCCTCAGAATTATTCCATATTAAAACTAGAGTCATAGTGTTCGAATGTCTTTGTAACTCCCACTTGTGCTATTTCCTTGAATGCCTGCAAGCAAAGAAGATCCAGAAATGTGCAAAGTTGTCACTCGCCACTGTTTCTATACCTTTTCATACAAACTAGTCAGTTTAAGTTGTTTAAAAGGTAGTTTCTCCAAACAGCTACACTAGGAAGTAGATCTAGAGGAGAGGTTGTTCACGTGGAAAGTTTCAGAAATAAATTTGTCAAATATGTAAAGCAGAGAGTAGGGAGGATCATTTCTCCCCTCTGCACAGCTGGCCAATCACAGAACAAAGTGGGTGTAAATGTTGGATTCAGAAAATTACAGAAATGGTCTGATACACCCTCGCCCTTTCAATTCCAGTGTTATGTTTCCAAAGCTCTTCGCCCATGCGATAAGCTGTTCTGACGGAACAAACTAGTAAAGCATGAAAATTCAGGGAAAGTCCGACATCCCTCCATAATGAAAACATCCGGTGGAATAATACATGTAGCAGATCTTTTTTATTTATATGTATATATAAGTACATGACTGAACTATTTAAATGTTTATTTGCTGCCTTCATTGTGTGGTGACTCAGCTGCAACACACCAGCTAGTCAAATAGTTTCACAATTAGATATCTAGTAATAGTCCTGAGCATAATGACTTGTCTTTGGCTATGGCAGCAATAGTTAGTGATTGAGTGTCATCTGCAGATTTTTTACCAGCCTATTGTTTTGTATCTGAAGTCTGCTCACACATAATATATCATTAATTGTCTTTGGATGAAATCTGAAAGATAAATGAACGAATTTGGCTGAAACTATTTGTGACTTTAATCATCTGTCTGTAATGTATCTGTCACGGGTAGGCTGTTGTCATATTCTTTTCTTCACTGTGTCATCTGTGACACATGGCTACTAGTTATTATCAGTGTCTCTTTGAATATGAAATCTGAAGTAATTTGTCATGTGTGTGTTTATTTTGCAGAGGAGTTGGAAGAGGAGAAGGAGAACCCAACAGAGACAGATCTATCAGAAAAACAGAAACACCAGCTTCGTCACAGAGAGCTCTTCCTCTCCCGGCAGTATGAGAGTCTACCTGCAACACACATCAGGTACCGCACACAGTCTTTTTGGGAATACCTGCTTCAAGATACCAATATCCAAGAAGTTTCTTAACAGATAAACCGACCTTTTATTGTCTGCATAAGTCTTATTGTCGGCTAATGGTTAATGATGTACATCCCTAGAACACACACTGCACCCAACTGCTCATCATTTCCAGGCAGTGCTCATGGGTAGTCACTCATCCAGGCGTGAACATGCCTATGAAACACTGCTCATGTCACATGCCGTGTGTTTTACTGAAACACTGATCATGTCACATGTCGGGTGTTTTACATGGTGCCTGTCCCCTCTCTCTTTCTCTGTCAGGGGGAAGTGCAGTGTCGCATTACTGAATGAGACTGAAGCCGTTCTTTCATACCTTGACAAAGAGGTGAGCTGGAGAAAGGAAAGACTTGATTTGCTTTCTCTAGTCATACTAGGTCATGTTTTTTCATATGAAGATTGCTATGATTGTCCCTAAATAAGTTTAAAAAAAAAAAAGTATTTGAATGGTATTTTTCTTTCCATTTGCTGCCTCAAACCTTTATACACTTATTTGTAGATTTGGTTGGTTCTACTATACAAGAGTTGATTACAAGTGTACCAGCAGATTTTCAAATAGATTCAAGTTTCAGGGTTAAATGTATAAGAAAGAAGATGAGTCTGACATTGGAGCTTGTGTGAAAACCCATGCTGCGAAAAACTGTGGAAGCAGATTCTTTGTTTTGTTAATTTCTGTCTTGTTACCACCAGGATACCTTCTTCTATTCACTGGTGTATGACCCAACGCAGAAGACCTTGCTGGCCGACAAAGGAGAGATCAGAGTGGGACCTCGCTTTCAGGCAGACGTACCTGAAATGCTACAAGAGGGTCAGTCTTCACTGCACATTTGATTTGTGAAAATATAAGTGTGATAGGTCTCAAAGTAAGTAGATATAGGCTTTATTCTGACCATGAAGAAAATACCAGCTTTTCTTGTTTGTTTATGTTAAAGTGATCTGTGAATTAATCTACACACTATGTAACTTAATGGTCTAATAAGTGTTCCTGAATTCAAGCCACTGTCAAACACGCAGCCTGAATGTTTTTCTTGCATATTCCACTTGATTTGACAATGAATCATGTCACAACCTGATTAGTTTCTAGTTTAAACAAACGTTGTAGAATCTCTATAAGTATTAATATTTCATAGAAGCTGTAGAGGTGAAAGTCTCAAAATCCTTGGTATGTGTGTTTACTTAAAATCTTGAGCATATTGCAGTTCCAGGCAGTTGGAGCTGCAAACCATCTGTGTGGAGAGTGTGGTGCACTGTACACCATGTTAAATTGTACAGTTTATAGCAGATTAAACTTGGATCTGGTAATAGGATGTGCCCATCAGCTATTGATCAAAAACAGAAACAACATTCACTCAGGTACAATCATGAAAAGTAGGATTTCTCTCCACAGCAAGTGGACATTTTGTGGGCAATTTCATTGGGTTTATAATCATGTGACATTGGATTATAAGTAGATTATTTTGTTATTTTCTTGTGATGTTGTTGAGCTGTGTCTTAGTTGGTGTCTCTGTGTCCTGCAGGTGAGGCAGATGACAGGGACCAGTCAAAGCTAGAAGAAAAGCTCTGGGATCCGGAGTGTCCACTTACCAACAAACAGATAGACCAATTCCTAGTGGTAGCACGGTAAATAACATTTCATCTCAGACATTTGCACAACTTCCTGTTCAAAGGTTTCAGATAGTAACCTGTTGTGAACTCGATTCATTCAGTCTGCAACTAAAACTGCTTAAATTCTCATTTTACGTAGAAATTAAATCACTCTTTGTCTTGGAAGACCGTACTAATTAGCTCCATTATTTTGCTCTGTTTGTGTATGATAATGTTAAGCATGACTGCAAAAATAATATATGCACATTCCAGTTGTTTTAGTTCTGGATTATACCATAAGTAGGGCTGATTACTACTCTTTTACACCTGAAAAAAAAGTGGAATGAATCACTTTTAATTGCTAACTATTGCAGTAAAGATGAATGATACAAAGATGGTTTAAATATTGTAGTTTAACCTTTTATTATTTTGTTTGTTGTCTCTAGAAACATATTCTCAGCTATTTGTCTGTGGTTATTCTTCTGTGCAACAATGAGCCCTACTTATGATGACATATAATGTGCTGGTATACAAATTCTTGATTCCTTTCAACTCATATATAGTATATATTCTATAACGTTGCACATATGCATTTTTTTTTCAGAGCGGTTGGAACCTTTGCTAGAGCATTGGACTGCAGCAGCTCAGTCAGACAACCAAGCTTACACATGAGTGCAGCTGCAGCCTCACGAGATATCACATTGGTGAGTTGGACGCACACAAAGCGATACTCACCCTGCAGGAGCCAATTGTGATTTATGATAAATGATGGGTCATGGCTTCTGAAAGTCCAAACCTCAATCCAGTTGTGGAGAGAAAGTAGAACCAGAGCCAGCTTAACAACACATTATGAAGGCCAGTCTTTTTAATTTTGAAAAAAAGAAAATCTGATCTGGCCCTTTTTCCTTTCAGTAATTCGTTCAAGATTTTAACTCCCTTCCTGTATCTATTTGTTGCAGTTCCACGCAATGGACACACTGCATCGCCATAATTATGACCTGTCCAGTGCATTGAGTGTGCTGGTCCCAGCGGGCGGCCCTGTGCTCTGCAGGGATGAGATGGAGGAGTGGAGCGCCTCGGAAGCCGCCATGTTTGAAGAGGCACTAGAGAAATACGGAAAAGACTTCAACGACATTCGACAAGACTTTGTAAGTCAGTGTTTATATCTGCTGTCACACTGTGGCTTTGTAACATCCTGTGCTAGGAGGGTGGTTCAGATTCTGAAACAGATGGTCAAACAGATCATCTGTGTCTTTAACAAGCAAGTGTTGTGTATATTACTGAGTGTATAATGCACTCTTTAAATAATGAAATACAGTGTTATTGTTTTTGGGCCAAATTCACAATGACGAGGACCACACACCATTTTGAGACCAACACACCCATGGGCGCTCAGATGGGTGAAAGTGCATTTGCCAATTAAAGGTTCAGTGTGTAAGATTTGGGTGAAAGGGATCTATTGCCAGATATTCACTATGAAAAAATCGTTGTGATGTTTTCACTAGTGTGTTTCATTTAAATTGTATAAATTGTTGTTTACTTTACCCTACAATGCGCCTTTTATATTTAAATACTTTATAATTACTACAGGAGCGGGTCCTCTCTGCAGAAGTCGCCATGTTTTTTACAGAAGTCCAAACTGGACAAACCAAACAACTTTTGAGTTTTTATGACAATTGAAGGTTTCCAGAGATTCACTTTCATGTTTGGAAGGGGAGGGTGAGGTGAGGGGTGTTCAGCTGCAAAATGCAACTTCACCTTTAGATATCACTAAATTCTACACACTGAACCTTTAAACAAATAGAAGCAGGACAGAAAATTACATTTGTGTGTCTGAAATCATCAAAGACACTTGTGTCACGCTTGATGCGTTACACTTGGTGCTTGGCGCCTCAAGTAAAATAGGGTCCTGACCTCTTTATATACAGTCTATGGTCCTGACTCATGTTAACTTGAGTCACGTTGTAATATTCCTTTACTACCTACTGTATGACCTCCCCAAGGGAACTCTCTGCACCCCTTAATTCAATGCTCCTGCCTCATTGCTGTCCACTCCTATGCTCATGTATGCCAAGGACCAAAGTCCTGTGAAGCCTACAAATAGTAGCTGTGTGATCAGAGGTGTTGTAGTGAAATATTTGACACTTTAAAACTTATTGAACACACTGTTGGACAGCGTACATGTTTGATTAAGCTGCAGGAGTTACTTGAAAAGTTTTAGGGGACTTTTGATATGTCCTTTCCCCACTCAGTGGAAACCTTTCACAATGGGAATCCATTGTAATTGGTATGAATTCAAGCTGACCCCAGCTGCTGCTCTTTGAACGACGAAATTGCCAATTTTAACAGCCACCTTTCCCTACAGGGGGTGACAATGTGATTCTGCTGAATTTTTCCTTCCCTCCACCTACCTTTACTGTAGAATGAATGGTATGGGTGTATAGGGTGACACCAGGTGCTCCTGAATACTTATTTTGTGTGTGTGTGTGTGTGTGTGTGTGTGTGTGTGTGTGTGTGT